GAGAGCCTGTTAGATCTTTGTTGATTAATAAATTGCGAGAGCCTGTTAATCATGTTATCTATGCATTGTTAATTATTAATTACTTCGTTCTATCCCGAAATATTAATTATTGGTGAACCTGTGACCCTAGGTTTCCTTATTATTGATTCTTTTCTCCCTAAACTCATTCTTCGTAGTATAGAATTCACATTTAAAATATTGGTTACTTAGATAATTTAAATTATATTAATTAATTAGAATTAAAAAGACCTGTTTCCCTGTGGAGTTCGACCCTACTTCCCTATCTACCTTAGTTAGTGAATTAGGTAATTATTTTTTATTAGGGGATACGAATTTACCCTGTCAAATTTGGCGCCGTTGTCGGGGAAACGGTTTTATTTTTATTTTCTGATTATATTTTTGTAGTCTAGATTATCCCCCTTTTGCCTCAGAGAACATTAGTTCTTTGAGGCAAATCTCATATTTGTCTTTAGTTCTTTGTTTATGCCCAGGTGTTCTAGATAAGGTGACATCCCTTTTGATCCTGAGATCGAGCGTTCTTTTCATAGGCAAAGGAGACTCTATAGACAGTTTCTGGCGGGTTCTGAGGAGGACAACGATCGAAGAGATCCTCCCCTTGATTCTAGTGATACAAATATTCCTTCAGATTCAAAATCAGAGATGACGGCCCAGAAGAAACTCAGTGATTATTCGCAACCGAAGCTCACAGATTTCTCGCACCTTACTCCTACTCCGGCTCTAGATGGAGTTCAATTTGAGATCAAGCCCCAATTTATCACTATGATAGAGAGGAAGCAGTTCAGCGGAGCTAAGGGTGAAGATCCTAATCTTCACATCGCAGATTTCTGCCAATATTGTAACACCATTAGACAAGTCGGGGTTACGCAGGACCAAATCAGGGAGATTATTTTTCCCTTTTCTTTATGTGGCAAAGCAAAATTATGGTTTAATGGTTTGAATAGAACTGCACTTGGTATTACTGACTGGGAAACTCTTGCTTTGAATTTTTATAATAAATATTATCCTAGAGAGAGAACAGCGGTACTAAGAAGTGCTATTCAGAACTTCGCCCAAGAGGCCGACGAAACATTATATGAGGCTTGGGAGAGGTTCAAGGATCTACAGAGAGAGTGCCCCCACCAAAATCTAGCACAATGGCAATTGATCCAAGCATTCTATAATGGACTTGGAAATTCTTCCAGATCAGTATAAGATTCGGCAGCTAGTGGGAGGTTTATGAATTTAAATGTGGATGATGCAGGACAGGTTATCGAAGACATGGCAATATACAATTCCCAATATGGGAATCCGAGGGGGTTTGCAAATAAGGGAAAACATGATGTCGATTCTGTATCCTTTTTGCAAGCTCAATTAACATCTATTTGTCAAAAATTAGATAATCTTACTGCTGCTCCTAACTCTGTAGCTAATGTTTCTACTGTTGCTAACCATGAGGCTTTTTGTGAAAATTGTGGAATTGTAGGTCATTGGGAGCAAGATTGTAGGAGCTCTACGGAACAAGTTAATGCCTTTCAAACCTATAGGCAAAATAACCCCTATTCCAATTCCTACAATGCCGGTTATAAAAACCATCCTTATCTTTCATACCGAAGTACCAATGTACAAAACCCTCCACCTCCACAACAACCACAACAACAACCCCCACCACAGCAAAAATATTACCATCCTAATGCCGGCCAGAAAAGCCAAGCATCACCCTCATCATCTTCCGACCCTGCCATGACAGAAATTAGAGCGATGCTAGCTAATATGCAAAAGCATATGGAGAGTAGGGATGCGCAAATTGATTCTATTCTAGCCCATAATAAAATCATGGACAGTCAAATTGCACAACTTTCATCTACCCTACAATCCCGTCAGCAGGGAGCTCTACCATCACAACCTATCCATCCTACAGATCATGATAATGCAATCACTCTAAGGAGTGGTTCACATTATGATGGACCTCCTATGCCAAAGGAAGATGGACCAGTTCCTGATCTAGATTCCTCTACACCAAACGGTAATCCTGCTAGCCCTGTAGGGCTACAAAAAGATACTAACCCTACTCATGTTTCTGTGCAGGGTAAATTGCAGGATAAGGGAGGAGATGCGCAGAGCCCAGTTATCAAGCTTCCATTCCCTAATAGACAACTGAAGAGTAAGATTGATAAACAATTCGGTAAGTTTTTAGAGGTTGTGAAAAACCTGCAGGTAACAGTTCCTTTCACTGATTTAATCACTCAAGTACCTGCTTATGTTAAATTCATGAAAGACATTCTGACTAGGAAAAGGGCATTTAATGAAGTAGAAACTGTAGCTTTCACAGAGGAGTGTAACGCTTATTTGCAAAATAAATCACCTCCTAAATTAAAGGATCCCGGTAGTTTTTCTATCCCTTGTCACATTGGGAATGTTTTTATTGATAAAGCTTTATGTGATCTGGGTGCTAGTGTCAGTGTCATGCCATCATCTATATGTGCTAAATTAAATATGGGGGAATTAAAAATTACTAATATAACTTTGCAAATGGCAGATCGTTCGGTAAAATACCGCTTAGGTATTTTAGAGGACGTACCTGTCAGAGTTGGTAAATTTTTTATTCCTGTTGATTTTGTTGTTTTAGATATGGCAAAGGACACACAAATACCCATTATATTAGGTAGGCCTTTCCTCCACACTGCAGGAGCTATTATTGATGTGAAAAATGGTAAACTGACCCTTTTTGTAGGTGACGATAATGTTACCTTTAATTTAGGGAAGGTTTTGAAAGGGCCTATGTTAGAGGAAAATTGTTGCTATATTGATACAATTGATATAATGGACGGTATTTGTGTTGATAGCTTGCCACAGGTTCTTGCAAAGGATCCCTTGGAGGAAGTTCTCTGCGGGAATTTATCTAGCGACAATGCAAGCATTTGGGGTAATGAGGTACAAAGTATTGAAAAAGCTCTTTCCTTAGAAGAGTTAAGCCCCAAGGAGACAATGAAGGTAGTAAATTTAGTTCAGGAATCAAAACCTGCAGAGGTCAAGAAACCTGAGCTAAAACCTCTCCCTTCCCATTTAAAATATGTTTTTCTAGATGAGCAGGAACTACACCCCGTGATCATCAGTATTGCACTCACTGACCTACAATCTTCCCAACTTCTAGGGGTCCTCAAAACCCATAAGAAGGCTATAGGGTACAGTATTGATGATCTCAAGGGTATTAGCCCTGATTTTTGCATGCACAGGATTCATATAGAGGAAAATTACAAGCCCTGCATTCAACCCCAACGAAGATTAAATCAAAACATGCAGGAAGTAGTCAAGAAAGAGGTGATGAAATTACTTGATGCAGGTATCATCTATCCTATTTCTGACTCCAAGTGGGTAAGTCCTGTGCAGTTTGTACCGAAGAAGGGTGGGATGACTATGATAACTAATGATAAAAATGAATTAATTCCCACTAGAACTGTAACAGGGTGGCGTATGTGCATAGACTACCGTAGATTAAATATCGCCACTAAAAAGGATCACTTCCCTCTCCCATTTATTGATCAAATGCTTGAGAGGTTAGCTAATCACAAATTCTTTTGCTATTTGGACGGGTATTCGGGATTTTTCCAAATTCCGATCCACCCTTAAGATCAGGAAAAGACCACCTTTACATGCCCTTATGGCACTTTTGCATATCGTAGAATGCCCTTTGGTTTATGTAATGCACCTGCTACCTTTCAACGTTGCATGATGAGCATTTTTTCTGATTTAATAGATTCTATTATGGAGGTCTTTATGGATGATTTTAGCGTATATGGTTCTTCCTTTGATTCATGCTTAATTAATCTCGCTAAATTTTGAAAAGATGTGAAGAATGCAACTTAGTACTTAATTGGGAGAAATGTCACTTTATGGTGACAGAGGGAGTAGTCCTTGGCCATATTATATCTGATAAGGGCATACAAGTAGACAAAGCTAAAATATCAGTGATTGAGCAATTACCTCCCCCAGTCAATGTTAAGGGAGTTAGAAGCTTCTTGGGTCATGCGGGGTTTTATCGCCGCTTTATCAAAGATTTTTCTAAAATTGCTAAACCACTGACACAGCTTTTGCTCAAGGATGCCCCATTTATTTTTACTGACGAGTGTCTTGAGGCTTTTAACAGGATAAAGCAAGCTTTGATATCGGCACCCATCATATGTGCTCCCGATTGGAACCTCCCTTTCGAGATCATGTGTGACGCAAGTGACTTTGCACTAGGAGTCTTGCTTGGGCAGAGGAAGGATAAGATTTTGCATGCTATTTATTATGCTAGAAAAACCTTAGATGAAGCCCAAGTCAACTACGCCACCACAGAAAAGGAGTTTCTTGCTGTTATTTATGCTTTAGAAAAATTTAGATCATATCTAGTTGGTTCTAAAGTTATTGTTTTTACTGATCATGCAGCATTGAAATAATTGATAGCCAAGGCGGAATCAAAGCCAAGGCTACTCTGTTGGGTTCTCTTGCTCCAAGATTTCAACATTGAAATAAAAGATAAAAAAGGAGCAGAGAATGTAGTGGCAGACCACTTGTCACGTATCAGGTATGATGAGGGTAAGGATTCTTTACCTATAGATGATTCTTTCCCTGATGACAACCTGTATGCAATTGTAGAGCATCACCCTTGGTACGCCGATTTTGCTAATTATATAGTGGGTGGTACTCTACCTCCTGACTTGTCCTACCAACAGAAAAAGAAATTCCTTTATGATGTTAAACATTATTTTTGGGATGACCCTTTTTTGTTTCATGAGTGTGCAGATGGATTATTTCGCAGGTGTGTTCCCGAATGGGAGGTTCACGGCGTCCTTACCAGTTTTCATACTTCACCCTATGGTGGACATCATGGCCCCACTAAAACGGTGGCTAAGATTAATGAGTCAGGGTTCTTTTGGCCTACTATGTTTAAAGATGCTAACACTTTTGTGCAGGCTTGTGACTCTTGCCAGAGGACTGGCAACATTTCGCGGAGGCATGAGATGCCCCAAACTGGGATTCTCGAAGTTGAAATATTCGATGTTTGGGGTATCGATTATATGGGGTCGTTCCCATCTTCCAATGGGAATTGTTACATACTTGTAGCCGTCGATTATGTGTCCAAGTGGGTAGAAGCCATAGCTTCACCAACAAATGATTCCAAGGTAGTCATTAAGCTCTTCAAAAAGATCATATTTCCCAGGTTTGGTGTTCCACGAGCTATTATTAGTGATGGGGGTACCCACTTCCATGAAAGACAATTGGATAACCTCCTCAAGAAGTATGGCGTATATCACAGAACAGGGCTTAGTTACCACCCTCAAACTAGTGGTCAAGTTGAGGTCTCTAATAGGGAAATCAAGGCGATCCTAGAAAAGGTAGTAGCTAAGTCAAGGAAAGATTGGAGCATGAAGCTTGATGACACACTTTGGGCATACCGAACAACATTTAAGACACCGATCGGTACTTCACCTTATAGATTAGTCTATGGTAAGGCATGTCATCTTCCCGTAGAATTGGAGTACAAAGCTTTTTGGGCGATCAAAGATCTTAATATGGATTCTAAGGCCGCGGGTAAGAAGAGACTCCTCCAACTCAATGAGTTGGATGAGTTTAGATTGTCGGCATATGATAGTGCGCGGATCTACAAGGAGAAGACCAAGAAGTGGCATGACAAGAGGATCTTACCAAGAGAGTTTGCACCGGGCGATAAGGTTCTTCTCTTTAATTCTAGATTAAGATTTTCCCAGGAAAGTTGAAGTCTAGATGGTCCGGTCCCTTCACTGTCACAAAGGTGAACAAATTTGGTTCGGTAGAGTTGGTGAATGACAAAGGTGAAGAATTCAAGGTGAATGGCCAAAGGTTGAAATTGTATCATGAAGGTGGTACCATTAGAGATGTGGAGGAGACTCTCCTAACTCCACTTCCAACATGACTTTCAAGGTGGTGAGAAGGTCGTGCGGGACCTAGATAAACCAGCGCTTTGCGGGAGGCAACCCGTATTTCATGCTTTCTAGGCTAGTTTTCCTTTTCCTTAATTTTTCTTATTTTATTTTTATTTTTATTTTTGTTTTTAGAGAGGTGAGGAGAGTGATATTTCACCGGTTTTAAGTGTTTTGTACAGGTATGAATTTGACAGGTATAAAGACTTAGAAAAAATTTGAAGAAGAAACGAAATCGGGGAATAAGGCTCTCTCGGGCCCGATCGGGCGAGGCTCGCCCGATCGGGCACTCTTTCACTTGGAAATTCTCTTCCTTTTCTCTCTTTATTTGCTTTCTAGTATAGTTTTTATTTGCTTTCCTAGTGTAGTTTTTTTTATTGCTTTCTTATATATGAAAAATACAAAAAAATTGAAAAAATAAAAAATTCAAAAATACGTTCCAATGAATTGTAAATCATGCTTCCCTGTGCCCCATACTTGAGAAAACTTGTTTTGATTCTTGGTATTTGATGATGAATTTTGTGGATTTGTTGGTTATGATTTGAAGTCTAATTGTTTGGATTCCTAAACTTGCGTCAATTTTGCCCAACTACTTGTGAATATAGTGTTTGACTAGTTGATTTGGTTAGGAAATGTGTGATAGTTCCATAATTCTTGGTATGTCAATGAATTTGAGTATTGATTTGCAACTATGAGTAGCGTTTCATGTCTTTTTATTATGCATATGAGAAGGACGAAGGCATTCATTCTTTTAGGTAGCCTTCAGAGTATTTAGATACATTTGTTCCCTTCTTGTCACCCATGTTGTTGCTTGTGCCCTTTTTATTGTTTATAGCCACATTACAAGCCTTAATTGCCCCATTGGTTACTAGTCCCAAGCTTGGCTTGGGGGAGCTATTAGTGAGTGAGGTGAGGGAGTTTGTAGTGTGCACTTTATTTGCACAATTTGGGTGGGTTTTGAGAAGTAATTTGTTCTTGATCATATTTTTGTTTTTATGAGTTTGAAAGTTGTAAATATTTGAGAAAAATAAAAGTGTGATGAAAAAAAAAAGAAGTTCAAGAAAAAAAAAAAAGCCAAGAAATTTGAAAAAAAGAAAGTGAACTTCTAAGGAAAAAAAAAGAGGAAAAAATGCTTGATGTTCAAATGTTCTAAGTGGAGGTTAATCAAAAGAAAAAAAAAAGGGGTTGAGTTTCAATGTAAATATTTCAAGTTATGAGTTAAAGGGTTTGTTTTTCACTCAAGTTCTACATTATCATATTTTTATGAGTGAAATTGTGAGTGTTGGGATTGTTTTTATTGTTTGGAGTATATATTTGGTGGTTTGTTGTTGGAGTTGGTTATGTTGGAGATGTGTATGATCATTATTTTTTATCATGGATTTATTAGGATTTGGCTCCCTTAATGCATAGCTTTTCTCTCACATAATCCCAATTTTATCCTACCTTTACCCTAGCCTTACATTACAAGCTTAAAAGACCTTCCGACCTTGTGCATAGAAGTTATGTAAATGTGAAAGTGTTGCTTTTCAATGCAAGTTATGACTTGGCATATTTCGAGTCGACTAGTAGGATGAGCGTTCAACGTTTTAATACACACGAGAGTGTGAGTTGGGAGGGCATTGTTCACATTAAAGGGGTTGGGTGGAGAGCGATCGAGTACATTCTTTACTCGCCACATAAATGAGAGTCGAGTGTGTGAGCACTAGTCTTGAATTCTATATGCTCTTGTGGTTTGCTCTACTTGACAATAGTTGGGGAGGAAGGGTGATTAGATGAATAAGATTGATTGATGTTGAAGCATGTTCATTTAATTTTACCTTGAATCATTGGCTTTTGATTTGTTTATTGGGGTGAAGTATGTTTTGTATGTTCATTGATGAGCTCTTTGCTTAGGGACAAGCAAAGGTTTGGCTTGGGGGAGTTTGATATGTCTATTTTATATAGTGTTTTACCCCAGTCCCGTAGTCATTATTAGTAGTGTTTTTGGCTCTTTCGGGCCACTTTTATTACTAATATGTGTTTTCTAGTGTTTTCGTAGTTTTGGTTAAGTTTTGCAGGGAATTGCACCTTTGGAGCATTTTTCCGGGATTTTTATGAAGCGACTACGAGCATTGGAGGAGCACGACCACTTTTGGAGCCCAAGTTCGGCTAGAGCCATCGAGCCGGTGATTAAGGGCTCGGTTATTTGGATCACGAGGCAATTGGACCATGTATTCAAGACCCGAGAGGAAATATGGATTGGGCCGAGAAATCTAGCCCAATCGAAGTCCAAGCCTTGAAGATGAAGATGCTTGCCCGATCGGGAGACTGCGCATGGATGCTATCAAGGAAAGGCGCGCCCGATCGGGTGAGTGTAGGCTCGATCGGGCGCGGTATATTAGACTGGGCGTGGTAAAAAAGGCGGGCCCGATCGGGCGCCCCTTCGCCCGATCGGGCGCGTGTTTTTCCTAGAGTCTGATTAAGTTTAGTTAATTCTTGTTTTAGGAGAAGTATATATACGTTTTGTACGGATAATTAATTACCTTCTTTCTCTTAGACTTTCTCTCTCTACTTAGTATTTTTCTCTCTCTTAAATTCTCTCTAAACTCTTGTTCTTAATTCCCTCATTAATTCCAAATTTATTTTGGTACAATTTCTTCCCTTTTTAATTTCAGCTATTTTAATTGTTTTCTTGATTACGTTTTTATTTGGTTTAGTTATGATGATTAGTGAGTAGTTTAATTCTAGGGTTTATGGGGATCCATAATTAATATGAAGGGATAGTTTGTTATTATTGATTGTTGATATTGCATGATAATTTCCTATTGAATTGTTTTAATTCTTTGCAATTAGATTATGAATCGAGAAGATGTAATTTGATTGTGAATGTTTAGCAATATTGAATTGATGAATCGAGCAGATGTTGATTTAATATTAAAGGCTATTTTTAATAGGAACTTAGGACTAATAAATTGCGAGAGCCTGTTAGATCTTTGTTGATTAATAAATTGCGAGAGCCTGTTAATCATGTTATCTATGCATTGTTAATTATTAATTACTTCGTTCTATCCCGAAATATTAATTATTGGTGAACCTGTGACCCTAGGTTTCCTTATTATTGATTCTTTTCTCCCTAAACTCATTCTTCGTAGTATAGAATTCACATTTAAAATATTGGTTACTTAGATAATTTAGATTATATTAATTAATTAGAATTAAAAAAGACTTGTTTCCCTGTGGAGTTCGACCCTACTTCCCTATCTACCTTAGTTAGTGATTTAGGTAATTATTTTTTATTAGGGGATACGACTTTACCCTGTCATTCCTGGAACCGTAAAAATAAAAAAATAAAAAAAATACCTCTTCGCCGCCGCTGCCACTAGTGCCGCCGAAGCTCCTCCCTCCGAATTTCAGCCTAATCCGCCTCGAATCACCCTTTTTTTTGTGTTTTTGATGATTGATGTTTTTTAAAAAAATGAAGAAAAATTTTTGAAATTTTTTTTTATAAATTTTTAGTGTGTTTTAGAGAGTTAGAGAGTAAGAGAGTTAGAGAGAGAAGTAATAAAGTGAAAAATGTTGGTCGGGAAGGAAAAAACCGTATTTATATATTAGGGGTAAAATTGGAATTTCAAGACAAAAGGGGAGCGTTACCCGGTAAAATGGGAGCGACGAATAACAACACCCGTTTTTAAATGTTTCGGCCAGTCTAAAATTTATTTTCATAAAAAGGACTAAAAATGAGACTTAACAGTAATACTCTATTCATATCCATTTTTATAAAAATTGTATACTCCCTCCATCCCATAATTAAAAAATCTTAAATAGACTTGGTTTACACTAATTTATTGTGAACCATTAACATTAGAGACAATATAATTGTTTTATTAATAAAATAAAAAAGTCACTATATTATAATAAAGGTTAATATATTGAAATAAAAGTTAGTGTGACATTATAAAAGCTATAAAAGGTTAATTTTTTTAATGAAAATTTTAATATAATGGTCAATATAAATAATAAAGATCACTATGTTAAAATTAGGTCACTATTCGACATAATGTCTTACTTTAAATTCATAATCACATTAAAGGTCCACTCAAAATTTTAAAAAAGTTACTATGTTAAAAATAAGGTTATTATGTTAAAAATAATTTCTGTCCCATAATATAGTTCTTATTTTTCTGTTTTGTAACTCCGTTTCTGTTTTGCATATGCTTTAGACTGTACTTTATTCCACTTTCTCTCTCGAACTTTTATACCTCATATATATGATTGTACTTTTCACTTTTATTATTCTAGTTCATCCACTTTTACCTCTTATTTCTTACATACCGTCAAAGAACACAAACATAAACTATATTATGGGACGGAGAGAGTACATTTTGAAAAATAGCTGGCTTTGACATGGACAATCTATACTAGTACTTTCTCCATTTTTGTAGAAGCTACACTTTTATTTTATGGTCTCCTGAACAATTTTTAAGAGGTAAGAAATAGAGAGAAAAATAAGAGGGTCATATGTGGATAGGAGAGAGATAGACGATAAGGAAGTACAATAAAAAGTGTTCCTAACAAGGTCTCAACTAAATATAGACGATAATGTTCGAACACTCAACCTTGGCTAATTATCACTTATGTTCTAATCTTGCACACAAATAAATTAATACCATATTTCAAAAGTATTGAAAACACATACAAATTATTAAATGTCTTCTTTTAAAAAGTTAATAATTACAACCACAATAATAGCAACCTGGGGCATAGCGCTGGCCACACACTAGTGTCTTGATCATTAATACAAGTACTATATTTCCTCCTGCCGACAGCTATGCGGGCAACGCCCGACCTCCCCCAACCTCGGCCGGCGACGTCCAGCCTCCCCCGCCCCCACCTTCTCTCTTTCCCCCACCCCACCGCAGTCCCTCCCAATTCCCCCTTTACTCTCTCAGACGTAAAAAATCTCAGCGCTTCCATTCTCTCTCCTCCTCCATTATCGGCGAGGAAGGGAGAAGGAGCTTGATTACCGGCAAAATCGAAGGCGATGATGGAAGGAGGAGAGAATTGAGCGGAGGAGAGAGAAAGATTGGAGAGGAAGAGGAAACTAGAGTTTGCAGAAGCTAGAATTGGGGGGGAATGGAGTTTGTTGCTTAGAGAAAGAGAAGAGATGGGACGAGAAAGGTTGTACCAGGCCGACCGGGGGTGGGGGAGGCCGACGACGCCCGTTTAGACGCCAGCATGGGGAGGGGCTGCTGCATGCTGGTGGCTAGGTAAGGTGAGGGAAGGATTTTGGTTTTATTTTGTAGAAAATTATTTGATAATTAAATTATATATATATTAAAAAAATTAAAAAAAATTAAAAAAAAAAAAAAAAAAGCTAACTATAGTTAAAGATTTTTATTAAAAGAACACTTCTCAGTTATCAATGGTAATTAATAACAAAGGTTACCAAAAAAATTTGAAATTTTTGCAATTTACCGAAGAGAATGAAAAACTTGAGTGTTACCAAAGAGATTTCCCAAACATTAATCTATATTTGCACATTGAATCATTCCTCTCAAGTATTGCTCTCCATTGTGCATTAATAAAGTTTCAAATCTAAACCAAAATCAATTAGACATTAGCCGAAAAAATGCTAGCTAAAAAGGAGGTAATCAACCATCCCTATATACATTCAATGACCCAAGCGATACGACTAAAACAAATTTTTGAAGATCAAATGAAAGCTAAAAGTATAAGGTGTCACTTGTATTACACGAGCAAAAAATTATTAATGTATACAGAGTATACAACAATTATTTCGTTGTTGTTTCTTAAATCAAAATCTATAAATCATTTAACCTTATAAATGTAAAGCTATCCTAAGAGATGAGCTCGAGCTTAAAAAAGCCTTCTATGTGAATAATTGAATATACAGCCACCAAACAATGATATACCCATTGGTGGTAATGCAAGCATAGAGATCAAGAAAACACCCTGACATCTCCTTTGCTCTTTTGCTTGTTTTAGCAAATTATCTGATGATACATGATACACGCAGCAATTTTTTGCTGTTTAATCAATCCTTTCAAGGTTATATAGCACCATTCTTTCAAGAGCTACACGATATGCGCTATCAGGAAGGCATTGAAGGCTCTGCAGAGCAATATCAGCCTTTTCTAGAGCTAATTCCCGAGCCCTCTCAATACCACCACAACTCTTAACAAGTTCAATGGCTTCATCTAGTGAGCCAGTCTCAGAGAATTCAGACTCAATAATCTCTCTCAGTTTAGGTTCTTTTTCCAAAGCAAAAATTACTGGAGCAGTCAAATTTCCTTTTGCTAAATCTGCACCTGCAGGCTTTCCCAGCTGCTCAGCAGACTGCGTAAAATCCAAAATGTCATCGACAATCTGGAAGGATAGACCAAGATTCCTGCCGTATTCATACATACTTTCACAGACATTCCGATCAACCTCACTGAATATGGCTGATCCCTTTGTACTAGCAGCAAGCAACGAGGCGGTTTTATAGTAGCTCTTGATCAAGTAGTCCTCCAGTTGTACATCACAATCAAATAGGCTAGATGCCTGCTTTATTTCCCCACTGGCAAAATCTTTAATCACCTGCCAAATCACGAGGATTAAATGTACAATTAGGAAATGCATCACCATACAAATTATTCTTGATAATTTTGTCATTTTCATTAGTACACCAATCAACTCCACTTGTTGGAAAAATTGAGCAAATGCGTGCTTTTTATCTCTTAAAGTGCAAACAAAAAAGAAGTTTCTAGAACATTAGTGAATGGACATAGAAAATCATAAGTTAATGTCATCATCATAGTCATCTCACAAGATAATCCTCTTTTTATCCAAATTTGATATATCTCTTCTTCGAGCCTCATTTCCGGTAGTTCCTCACCTTTAAGGAAATGAAGAAGGGTGAACTTCATTTCCGGTTAGCCATTATAGTCATGAACACAAAAAATTATTACACAAGCCACTGGCTAATCTATGATAATTATAGGTCCACTACAGCTCACACAACTCGGCAGCGACAAATCAAGCTAGGAGTAGAGCTACTTTGTCTGCTCACATGACAATAGTTACTATGCTTATTCTATAACAAATGTTCAATAAGTGCTATTGCAATGAATTACAGATATACCTGACTGATAAGCTTTATTACTTCCAAGTTTTCAAGGTTTGCAAGGTACCATGATGACTGTGCGAACATGAAGTCCCCAGCCAGGACAGCCACTCTAGTGCCATAACGTTGATGAACAGTTTCCTTACCTGCAAAGGCATCATAATTCCTTTTCAGACTAAGCGTAAGAAAATTGATAAAGACACAGAAGCTATAATATGTATTTCAGAGCGAATTTCTGTTCAGGTTCACTTAAAATCAGCAAATATTCTTCATTATCAAGAGATTAAACACCACTCTTTCTATTCTTCTTCCGCTAAGGATTAAGGAAAATAACATTAAGCTATAACCACACAAAAACTCCTGCTCCTCTAAAAATGAAAACTAGAAAATTGCAGATCTGCAGTTGAGCTGGAAAGGGAAGGAGAAGAAAAAATGATACACAATTTGAAAGTTAGTCAAGACCCATGGAAATATTGCAGCAGGCTCACAATTAAATCAAGCCCTAGTATAATTTGAATAAATGTATTAGATCAACAAATGATTATGATGTTAGATAATCAGCAATAGGGAACTGTATACAAATAAGCATTGATCTTTCATGTAGCTTCTCATCTATAAAGGTTGCGAACATATATATGCATGAGTCATGAGACAAACTTGCAAGCACCACAGCCATGCAAAGGTTAATTATTAAGAACGACATATCTAAATTACATGATTATCAGCATGAAAAGTCTCTTAAGCAAAACCAATAAAATAAACTATAACAGTTTATGCCTTAAGTATCTAAAATCCTATGGCATCAAAGAGCCATTCAACAAATACAAACCTTACCTCTTCTCAAGTTACTCTCATCAATGACATCATCGTGTATCAAACTTGCAGTATGTATCATTTCAATGATTTCTGCCAAACGGCGATGCTTTATTGTAAGTTCCCTGGATAGTCATAAATAGGTGATAAGTGAAGAGGTTAAGAATCATATTCTGAAAGAAGCAAACATGTGACAGCACTGACATACTTTAAACCAGCTAATTGTGCTGTAGCTCTTGAGACAAGGAAAACTAAAGCTGGTCTCATCCTCTTCCCCCCAGCACTAAAAATCTGCTCTGCAGCTGACATCAGCAGTGGGTTTTCTGCACCAACAATCTAAAGCTAAAACAACATTAGATGCAGGCATTGGATCTAACAAAGCTAGGACATGGACATTATGTATACAATATGATCCCACAGACATCTAATAAGAAACGCACATATTGATTTTTTTTTATTTATTTTTTTTAAAAAAAAAAATATAATATAGAAATAAATTATCAAGATTCATCCACAAGGAGAATGTAAATGCCCACAGTTTCACAAGCCCTAATAATCAAATTTCTAACTTTGCAGCTCAGTTGCTCATATAGGTGAAAATACTTGAAATGAATGAACCATATAGAGTAGCTACACATCTCATTCATACAGTTAGAAGAAATGTGAATATGCTACAAGATCCCACATGACTATATTTTTCATTACACATAAAGCACAAAACACAGTCAAGGGGGAGTGTGTGGATACTGTTAAAGTCAAAACGTGTCAACTAAAAAAAAAAAAACGGAAGCAGTAATATTTACTAATAGGAAAATCCAGTTTTATCCTCAAAAATGGCCAAAATCCAGCAATACACCCCCACCCTATATAGATGAACCATAAAGCATAAAGCCCCCTCAGTCTTATGATGGAAGTGGCTGCAGTAGAGGAAAATTGGGAATATACACTTATATCTCTAGCTATGTTTGCAGCCATCTTATTAGCAGAAAAGGTGAACCAACATATTTGATATTCCATAAAGTACAAGTATCCTAACCTAACGAACTGATAACTTTTAGGAAAGAGTATCAAAGGAGGTCCACAAACTACCACTTATTTAACAACGAAGAAAATTACAACCCAGCACGGTCATGCTAATGTGAATTTCAGAAATAAGTGCAATGTGAGAAGAGGTCCTGTTAAGCTCATAAGAGTTCTCTAAAAAAAAGTGCAATGTGATGAAATTCTAAGAATTTAAAGCGGTCAATATACACTGCTCTATCGTGCAGAAAAAACTCATATGTATACAGAATTATCAGTCATCCATCCAAAAAATATGAGAAAGAGTTTCCCTTATAACTCGATCTCATGTGATGTTTCATGGGCTACAGTGCGATTTCAACACTCCACATCACATGGATCCATTTCAATTTGGCCTAAAGAAAATATCAAAGCCATTACAGGTCCCAACCATAGGCCAAACTCTAATACCATGTTAAATATGAGCTTAGGCCACATTCACCATAAAGAGACAGAGTCCACTTCACAATCTTAAAGAATGTTCCATCTCGAAAACCATTTGGCAACAGAATGAGTAGCCCTTTAGACTTATGAAGTGTTTAATTCTCTCGTCATTACATGATACTCACACGTGCTGTTTGGGAAGGCAATGCTTCAACAAACAACTTTATCTTCAGATCAGTTACACTTACACCTGCTTTGGTATTGAGGCTCCTTCCCCACCCACCCCCACCCCCACCCCACACACACACACACACACAGACAAAAAAAAAAAAAAAAAAAAAAAAAAAAAAAAAAAAAAAAAAAAACCTTATCATATTGAAATATACCTACATAATCTGCCTTTAATATTCAAGATAGTAAGAATTCCAAATGTCATTATCACCATTCACCAAAATCCAATTGTGATTTTTTCTCCTCAACACCACCTGTAATAAAACAATGTGTTGCTACTTATGCCTATTTCCTTCTAAAAATTAAGACCAACAAAGCTACCACCATTAAACTGTTACTAGTCTATAAAACCACAGGTCTTCAAATTTGAACAGGATTAACTAGGTGATGATTTCTAGTCACCAGTATCCACTATGCTTTTATTTTATCTAATAGAGGGAGAAATTAGAAACATCACAAAGCTCATCAAAGTTGCACTAGGTTTGGAAGATAAGAGGCAATACATGACTCATAATGCTTGATAGTTGCCCCATGAATAAATAAGCTATAAATGCTAGAAGGGAAGGATTTGAATCAAAGACTTTCATTCCTAAGCAAAGGAGGGGGATGGGGTGTGGTGGGAGTGGTGAAAAGAAGCCGGACAAAAGGTCACCACAATTGTTTTAGGAACACTAAATTGTACAAGCTCACTGTTGCTAAAGAGTTTGTAGCCACACCAATGGAGCAGATACTACCTTCAACAACTTTGACGATAACCCCTTGACGACATTGAACAAATTACGAGCAACTAACTATCCTAGCCTCGCTATACAATTTGATAAAACATGGCTTGATATTCTACTTGGATAAGAATTCATCCGAACATACTCTTCCTAGCCTCACTTTACAATCTAATAAGTCCCAACTTTGCACAAAACTTAGATAACAATCCTTCATCCAAGCATGCTCATTCTAACTACTTTGCACAATCATTTTCAAAGCATTAGTAAGACTCAAATAAGTTTGCTTTTGTAGTCTTGAATTCATGAAAGCTTAATTTAATTAGTTGCTAATGAATTTACAATCAATGCAGGAAAAATCAATCCAATTTTATGCTTATTAATAGCTAATAGCCTAATACCATCTTGTTGTATCTTCCTCACAATACTTATTTACTCAATCCACTGCTAAGCAAGTATTATACAATGAACCAAAGAAAATGATCTACTGTAACAAACATAATAATAGACAGAACAATACTTACAGCTTGCAGATTCTTGTTCAAAGTCAAGAGATCATCAGCAACCACTTCAAAAAGATTAGCAATCGAAATCGGGTCACTAGACTCCTTCCTTACATTCAAAACAGGCAAAGGATCATCACTAACCCCTATTAAACATCCAAATTCACAAACAAGCATAAGATATTTGTCCTCGAAATCAAAAACCAATGTTAAAACAGAACACAATAATTTGTCCATACCATTAAGTAAAGTCTCAGGTGTCTTGGTAGAGTACACCCTACACTTGGGACTACCAGAACGAAAACAAAACAATTTTCGCGCTCCATAACCTTTTCTTATGTTCTTCCTACTTCCATTACCCTTTACATTATTACTTTTTGCAAACAAACGATCAGAAGAAGCATTAGATGAACAACAACAAGCAATAGAATTAAACCTCATTCTACCAAAATCAACATTTTGGCAACTCATTGACATCATTTTGATTTTTGAGCAATACCCAGAAATCGAAATCAGTAAAATTTCAATTTCTAACCAAAACCCACCTCAGAAAGTTGCTGACTTGATCATTTAACAAGAACCCACATGAAGAAATGGGATGAAATTTGAAATAAATTGTCACAAATTATGTGATTAAGTGAAGTAGAAATAAAAGAGAAAAGTTTTTATTTATTTATTCTGTTTTTTTGTATGGTGGAAAGAAAGAATTGAAATGAGTGTTGCTGGAGTAGTTTAGTAGCAGAAGTTGGTAACGAATGATAAACAAGAAATTGAGTGGCGGAAATATGCCCACACATGTTCATTAATTTGCGTATGTGAGGACATTTCTTCGTACCTCTTTATTGATATTCATTCAAGAGACAGCCGTGTGTAAGTTGTAAGAGACTAAGGTATGGGAGTAGAGACAATTAAAGAGTAAATTGGGATATAAGAACATCTCTTTTTTCGTTTTTATTACTTCTTCCGTTTTTTTAATATCACATCACTTACCTAATTACCCTTGCTTTTTAACCTAATATACCCTTGCTTTTTAACCTTTACTTTTATTTTGTGCATACAATCACATGGGCAACTTGGTATGTCTACCTTTCTCTCTCATCCTTTTTTCCACTATCAAAAAATTTGTGCCAAACTCTTACGAAGCAATAATAAAATAACGGAGGAAGTATGATTAATTAACTATATAAGGCCCTGTTTGATTCACCATAATTTTGCTGAACTGAAATTATTTTTACTGAACTGAACTTATTTTTACTGAACTGAACTTAATTTTACTGAACTGAAATTATTTTTACTGAACTTAAATTATTATAACTGATTTTTTATTATAATTCTTCTTTAAGAAAATTGAATTTTACTGAACTGAACTTATTTTCACTGAATTGAAATTATTTTTACTGAACTGAAATCAATTTTACTGAACTGAACTTATTTTTACTGAACTGAAATTATTTTACTTAATATTATTTTTTTAAGGTGAAGAGAACAGGGCCTAATTAGTCAATAAGTAGATAGTAATCTAAATTATTCCCAATTTTCTATCTATACTAATCTATACTAAAAGGCGTTTCTAACAACGTCTACGTGTCACGTAAACTCGCCTCATTACACGTCACCCATGTAACTACTCATAACGCCACATGGCTCTCCCTTCCATTTGTCTTCATTTTATGTCATTCACTTATAATAATAATTTTAAAAAAAATGCTCACCACAAGATTTGAACTTACAACCTCTAATTCTACAAATAAGAGTCTTACCACCAGGGGTAGACTCACCTTTAGTCATGCTGGGTCCCGTGACACACTATTAATTTGAAAAAAAAAACAAAAATAAAAAAATAAAATTAAAGAAATGAATAGGCTAAGGGTTTGTTCTCATAGATTGAACTCAGCTAAACTGAAATGAATTGAACTGAATTGAACTTAAATGAGCTGAACTAAACTTAACTGAACTGAAATGAATATTTTATAAGAGAAGGAAATTAGGAGTTGAACTGAACTAAGTTGGGCTGAACCGAATTGAACTGAAAATAAATGTATGAGAACAGGCCCTAAGTCAGAGTGTCCGACTACTATAGTACTACTCCTTAGACCTGGCAATCCTGCCCGACCCGAATGACCCGACCCGTAACCCAAAAGTTGACCTAAAATCATTGACCCGAACCCGAACTAACCCGACCTGACCTGAAATAGAGTTGACCCGAACATGACCCGATGACCCGAAGTGACCCGACCTGAATGACCTGACCTGAAATTGACACGAAACTCGAACTTGACCCGACCCGAAATGACCCAAAACCCGAAGTGACCGGACCCGATTTTAACCCAAATTGATTGACCCGAATCGACTCGACCCATAGTGACCAGACCCGAATTGACCCGAATCCTAAATGAATATGGTGACATAGTGAATTACTTAGTTTAGGGCTTCTTTATTTCCTACGTAATAGGTACTCATGATTTTATTTTTTATTTTTTAACGATTTTACTTTATTTTTTTCAACTATTTTATTAAGTGAATTTATTTTAGTGACTCGACACAAACTTGACCTGAATAGACCCGACCCGAATTGACTCGATCCGAATTTGACCCGAAAATTTATCTTAAAAATTGACCAGATCCGAACAGACCCAACCTGAACTTGACCCGAAGTGCTGACCCGATTTTGACCCGAAACCCGAATCAACCCGACTTGACCCGAACATTTACTAACCTTAATTGACCCGACCCGAACCCGACCTGAATGACCTGTTTGCCCGGTCTACTACTCCTAACTTCCTAAGTTCTAACTCCCCTAGTTTCACGTAAAATCATTAAAATTTAATTAAAAAGAAACACTTTATGTCAAACTTTGTTGGATATTTTTCCAATCTCTTTCTTAATTTTTTTTATGAACTTTATTACCTTATACTAAATGCTTTAAAGCTTCTTCTTGTTGTTAATTTGTTGTTCTAATTCAGTTTATAAAGCTAATAAATTATTATTTGAAGGTATTGCTTTGTGTTGCGGGTAAAACAATGGGACCTTCGGCAAGGTCCTTTAAAGTGGGTTGAAGACTGAACTCGGTCCAAATGATGTTGGGCCGACAGTTTTCTGCACAGAAAACACACATAAACTAGCCTCGGGGGTTGTGCCGAGGAAAGCCCCTCCAATGCCGAAGTCAATACAGTGTAGAGAGAGAAAGTGCTATGCAAGAGTATTAATTGCTTGAGGCTATTTGTGAATGAATGCAAAGTGAGAGAAGTGAATGCTTTTATACCTTAGCACAATAAGGAAAAATGGGCTTGAAGCCAAGTGAGCTTGCCACGTTGACTAGACCCTTGACTTGACTTGACTTGACATGGATTGGAGAGTTGAACCTTTGACCTTGGGCTTGTAATTGAATCATTTGTGGACCGATCCAATTGACATAAATTGGACCCAAACACTTTGTATTAATAATTAGTTTGTCAATTGTGAATTCGTGAATTGTGAATGGAGTTTTATGTATAGTGATGTCTTAGTTTATATTACAAGAATAATTTTAGATTGTTATCTAATTTAAACTTTAACTATTTTTTTAAACAAATTTAAACAACTTTAATTTCATAATAAAAAGGGAAAAACACTCGAGATATTAATTGGTATACGGTGATTGCAGTCGATAAGTGACAATGACACATCACTCCTAAAATCCTGGATCCGCCACTGCTTACCACCAAGCTATGTGATTTTTTATGTAACTTTTGAATAAAAAAATATTAATATGTAGCAAATGACAATATTTTTTTTACAACCGCAAATGACAATATTATGAACAACAAATTTAATTACAAGAAAATTTAATCATAAATTCCAACATACATTAATGATCAATTCCATGTAAAAATTCGGGGCATCGCTCGGGTCTACAAACTAGTTGATTATTAAATGAGATTTATCCAAAACAATAATAGCCAAAATGGGTAGATGAATATTAGTGATTCCAATAATTTCCAATCACCTATTGATTATTTTAATGAGTAGATTATCCTAAATAATCCTAACCAATTTCTTATGGTTTTTCTTTGTTGAAAGTAGCCATGATTATTTACTAACGTGATGTTCACTTCACTTTTAAAAAATAATTATTTAGTAAAAATAATTTCAGTTCAGTAAAAATAAAGTTCATTTAAGCAAAAACAAGTCTAGTTTTCAGTAAAAATCAGTAATGTTAAAAAAGAAATACTCCCTCCGTTTTTTTAAATACATCACTTTGATTTTTACACTATTTACAATTTTACATATCATGGTTGACTTAATTTTTTCACCTTTATAAAATAAAAAAATGTTATTATATAATATATCATTAGATTAGTCATAATGTCTAGTTTCACTATATAATTTGGGTGTTGTTATTTGTCGCTCCCATTTTACCGGGTAACGCTCCCTTTTTGTCTTGAAATTCCAATTTACCCCTAATATATAAATACGGTTTTTTCCTTCTCGACCAACATTTCTCACTTTCTTACTTCTCTCTCTAACTCTCTTACTCTCCAACTCTCTTACTCTCTAACTCTCTAAAACACTCTAAAAAAAATTTAAAAAAAAATTCAAAAATTTCTCTTCATGTTTTAAAAAAACAACAATCATCATAAACAAAAAAAAGGGTGATTCGAGGTGGATTAGGCTGAGATTCGGAGGCAACGGCGGCGACGGTGGCGACTAGGTAATTTTTTTTTTTTAATTACAGATCCCAGGAACTTCCGCCCAAAAATTCCGGAAGTTCCATGGAGGATCCACCTGGAATTTCCGGATCCTCCATGGGACATCCGGAATTTTTGGGCGGAAGTGACATCCGCCCAGAAATTCCGGATGTCCCATGGAGGATTCGGAAATTCCAGGCGGATCCTCCATGGAAATTTCGGAATTTTTGGGCGGATGGTCCAATTTTTTTTTTTTGTTTTTTTTCCCGTTAATAAAATTGTTAATTTTAAATTTTTTTTTCGGATTTTGTTTTTTTTTGTTATTTTGAAGTGTTATGGTTATTATTGTTATTATTATTGTTGATATTATTATTATTGTTGTTGTTATTATTGTGGTTAGTATATTTTGTAATGTTATTATTTTTAAAAATATGATAATTTTTATTATTTTGTTGATATTAGGTTTTTATTATTAATTTTAAGGTTATTGTTGTTGTTGTTAATTTGTTTTTTTTTTTTTGGATTTTGTTATTTTTGTTGTTATTTTAAAGTGTTATGGTTAGTATTATTATTATTGTTGTTGATAATATTATTATTATTATTATTATTATTAGTGTTATTATTTTTAAAAATATGATTAGTATTATTATTAAACTAATTTGATATTAGGGTTTTTTATGGTTATTGTTGTTGTTTAATTTCTTTTTTTGTTGTTGTTGTTATAATAATATTATTATTATTATTGTTATTAGTAGTACTATTATTAATTTTTTTAATTATGATTAGTATTATAGTTGTTGATATTAGTGTTATTATTATTGTTATTATGGTTATTGTTGTTGTTGTTAATTTGTATTTGTTGTTGTTGTTGTTATTGTTGTTAGTTATTGTTGTTGTTAAGTTTATTTGTTGTTGTTAATTTGTATTTGTTGTTGTTGTTGTTATTATTGTTATTATGGTTATTGTTGTTGCTGTTAAGTTTATTTGTTGTTATTGTTTTTATTATGATTATTATTATTATTATTATTATTAAATAACAAAAACCTACAAAGTCAAAAGATTTACAAGAAATTAGTGGGGAGCCGAGATACAATCTGGGCCCCCACCCCTCGAGCTTTAGCGAACCCAATCCTGTTAAAGATGTGAGCAGCCACACGAGCTCCAATATCCTGAGTCCTAGCGAACGCCTGAACCCGCTTCAGCAACGCAACGACATCCTTCTCTAATTCCCCCAATGAAGAAAAGGAGAAAGGAAGAAAACCATAGCCAATAGCCCTGCAACGCGCCCCATACTTGTCTCGCTTCCGCTGAGCCGCAGCCGACATAACACGACCAGGAACGAAGTCAAAGAACCCAGATTGAGTCAATGGAGAAGACCCCGTCAAGTCAACACATACATCTAGGCCTCTATCCCAGGAGTTAAGCAACACATCTGCTGGCCGAAGAGCCCCGTCGTTCCCTCCAGTTAACCCAACGTTGACCTCCTTCCTTGCAGAAATCCCAGAGCGGAAACAAATATCAACAAGGGTATCACGAACAACGTTATGCCGATGTTTAATACCCACCATCCCAGCACAAGACACTGCATGATCCTCATAAATATCCCCATCAAAAACTCTTGAGCAAGCAGAACAAGGTGCCGATACGGAGAACAAGGGAACACCCAACCGGTAGCAAAGAACACAACGGTAAGTCTTACCATTCATAGTCTGACCCAGACCTGATATCGGGACCGCTCGCAACCAGGCAGAAGAGTAATCCCCCTGCTGGGACTTCCATAAGGCAACCTGACGCTATTATTATTATTATTATTAGTATTATTATTATTATTATTACTAAAATCGGATTATTTTCTTATTTTATGTAGATCGAGGGTTCTGGTGCTCGACATGCAATATCACGACGTCTGAATGCGTCTGTTAGGAGACAGACATCTCGATCTTCACCGCTTCAACCCGAGCAGCAGCAATACGGGTCTACTAGTGGTTGGTCGAGAGACCAACAGTCTGGTAGTAGTCGGCCCTTGTACTCTGCAAGTGGAGCACCCATATCTGACGAGGAAGACGAATGTTCGGTTAGTCATGCTGGTGACCGGGATGAAGAACAGGACCCTCAGGATTTCCATATGGTATATAGGGGTCAGTTTGGGAGATTTGTTGGTAGTGGATCGAGTCAGCCTACTTCCAGCTCTGCAGAGGCATGGTTAGTGTAGGAACCGATGTCGGGTGGGCCTGAGGATGGGTCAGTTATCCCTAGTTTTGGCGGTCACGTGGCACGGTATATCTGGATGGATCAGGAGCATAGTGTTTTCGCTGTTTGAGTAGGACAAAGTTATGTTCTGACTTGTTCACTTGGCGAGGTCGTCAAAGAGGACCTTGCGGCGATTGATGCTAGTTGGTTGTCTCACTTGCCCGGCCTGATGTTTAAGAGACTTGATTGGCCGTTGATTTCTGCTTTTGTTGAGAGGTGGCAGCCAGATACGAACACCTTTCACATGCCATTTGGGGAGATTACGATCTTGCTGCACGACGTGTACAACATACTTGGGTTACGGGTTGCAGGAAATATGGTGACCACTACTCCTAGCACGGACGTGTTACGGGACGCGTGCTCGATCACCATGGATATGACTCCAGATGATCTGTCTGAGGTTTGCGGCACAAAGACCATTTGGCAGGGTAGTGGGGTGTTGACTGATAAGATTTTTGAGTCGACATTGGCGGTTGGCCGGGATTTTAGTGAGAAGCTTGATGGATACTTGTGGTTAGTGCTTGGAGGTACACTGTTTGTAGACAAGAGTGGTAACCGTACGCATCCTTCCTTCCTCTACGAGATATGTCACACGGATGTCCCTATTAACGAGTATGCTTGGGGAACAGCTGCACTGGCCTACTTGTATCGGCAACTGGGCACGACATCACGGAAAGGTGCTGATTCAACTGTTGGTTGTCTCACGCTTCTACAAGCGTGGATTTACGAGTACTTTCCGTGCTTTCGGCCACAGCAGGGTACCTTGACCCGGGACCTTCAAATTCCTGGTGCGTCTGCTTGGGATGTTGGAGCGAGATGTCCTAGCAAGAACCTGGAGCGCCTGTTAGCTTTTCGTACTAGGATTGATGCGCTTACTGACCGTGAGGTGAATTGGCTACCGTACGGAGCTAATCCTGCATTACGAGTGCCCCCCACTTTATTCATTGGCTGCATCTAGTACCGTAACATCATTGAGTTGTACATGCCTGATAGAGTGGTACGCCAGCTTGGTTTCGTGCAAGGCATTCCCCGCGAGATCATCAGGCCAGAGAAGGCTAAGAGGCCGACTAACTTGAAGATGTATCGGGTAGACTTCCCGACTGAGATGACAGCTGTGATGTGGAAGAGGTTTGTCCTGGGTATCTCAGAGTGTTTTTTTAGGTTCCCTACCCAGGCTTAGTGTTGCAGCTCCTTCGGTTGTGCCTGGTTACATGCAGTGGCTGTACAGGTTTTCTCACCCGCGGGTATCTCTAGGTGCAGGAGTTACAAGCAACCTACCTGAGCGGACTAACACTGATTACGTAAGTATTTATGCTTATTATTATATTAACAATGACTTCTATGAATTTTTGTGTTTATAATATGTTATTATTTGATTTGCAGTGGATGGGTCGGTCCATGGAGATTCACCAAAGAGCACTGGCTGAGTATCCTGAAATGTCGAGTGAGACTCGAACAATGACTAAGCAGCTTGTATTTGATTGGAAGTCAAAAATGGGACTTTAGATTATTTTGATTAGATGTTCTGTTAGTGGTTTTAATTATGTTATGTACTTATTTTTATTTTTTTTAAATGTAATGTATAAACTGGACACTTATTTTTTTTTATATTTGATGTTTTGTTGCATATCATGTTAGATTAAAAGCAAATACATTTAAAATTAATTTCATAATTCTAATTTTCTTACAAATGTTCAAAGTTAGTGAATGTACATTACAAACTACCTAACTAATGCATCCCACATGTCCCTTCTCAATTGATATGCTTGATCCCATCCATTGACACTATCCTCGTGGTGTTCCGTCCACCAACCGGCGATCGGCGGGAGTGGTGAATCAGGTACAAGGTCAAGACGGATGAAATGTGATCCACCAACTGTAGCAATCACAAACTCTCGAGTCGGTGACCGAACCCCGTTGCGTGCCCTCAGCGGTAAGACTGTGATGCATGGGTAGTAGCAAGTTGGTACTAGGCCTAATCCGAGACAAATCACCCTTGCGTTGAACCACGTAGCAATAGGAAATAAATCTTGAATTGTAACCATCCAATGCCGCTCCCCGACAGCCCCACCATCCCATCGAATACACTCCACGTTCATCCAAAGTCGCCCAAGCCCGTAAATCCGTTCGTACAAATCAGGATGACTAGCGATCTCGTTCGCTATTGTTTCCCGAGCGTCAAACCACTGATTTTGATCGCCAAAGAAGAAGTCGGCGACAAAACGAAAGCCACAGTTCCCATCACCAATGACATCCTTCCAAGACGAAATGTACGGCAACATTGGGGCTGGAAGCAAGTTCAAATACCTGCATTGACTAATGTCACTTGGATCTACAACACAAAATTAAATATAGAATTTTAGTAAAGCTACAAGTATTAAGTTTACATATTTTTATATTAAATATAGAATTTTAGTATTACCTGGTTCTGGGTCACCACCACGTTGAGTGTGTTGACGGTTCACATGCTCGAAATAGCTACGATCACGCCTGGTGTTATTTCTCCTCGGTCGACCACGAGTGTTAAGGTTGATATGTGGTTCTTCAAGGTGTGAATGATCTGGATGTAGCTCCTCTTCAATGATTCGCGTTACATTTCGACGTACGACCGGGTCACTTTCCATGACTTCGTCGATTAGGGACCGAAAATGTGCAGCCTCCTCGGTCGAATCATTTACCACTTCAAGAATGTTAACAACATCACCAATAACCAGTATCTTCCAGAAAGAATGAATTTGGCTGCTATACAATCCTGTCTGTGCAACTATCGAATCATGTATCTAGCAAGCACATGGAAGACCATGGGTCACACGCATAGCACATCCACACCGTTCATGGACCTGGTAACTCAAATCCCGCATCCTTTTCGTCTCCTTATCCAGAACTTTCAAGCAATGTTGAGACTCTTTGCCATTTATACGTGACAGTGGCAACTGTCTGTACATCTGACCAATTTTAGACCTTGATGCCTTCAAGTCATTACGAATTTGTATGATGCGATTACCGATATGACAATGGACTCGGGCCCATACGATATCCAAAGCACCTGCCAATGATTCTAATTAGTAAATTCAAATACAATTACAATTAATACAATTACAATTACGTAACAACGAGAACAACTAATAAAATAATAAAACTAACCTGTGGATGATTCAAACCAAGTTTTCACTGCTGAATGTTGGCTCTCAACTCTGCAGTTGGTGGTGTTACCAAAGTGAAGAACCTGGTTCGTCCAAAATTACACAAATTTCTCCTTATGACAAAGTCATGTTCTCTGAACATACTGAATCAATTCCGGATATTTTCCCCACCTCACTTGCATGGCAGCTAGAGCACGATCATACTCCGCCCGTGTTGTTGCATTCACGATTTTGAACCATCTCCCAGCTCTAAAACTGACACCAACCGTCTTGTTTCCAAACATCTTCGTCACCTTAGCCTCCACATCTCTGTTGATGTTCCATAGATAGAGTAAATGTGACGTCCGTGGAAAGACTTCTCTCAAAGCCGCACATAGCTCAAGATCACGGTTTGAAATAAATACAGATGGCTCTTTATCAAACCCAATCAACTCCCTTAATCTCTGTAACACCCACCGATAGCTAGCCGTGCACTCGTCGCGCATGAAAACATATCCAACTAGAAAATTCTGGTTTGTCGGTGTCACGCCTACTATCTCAAAGAAAGGCATGTTATATCGATTGGTCTTGTAAGTAGAATCCATACCTATGACATGTGGGTATGTGCAGAGTATGTTGACCATGATCGGGTGCACCATAAATGCATGTTGCAAAACGTTGTGATCATCGTTCGTGACCCAGTAAATGTATTTACTCTCTCTCGCCAGATGAAGAAATTGCTGAACAACTCCTCTTCCTTCGGACATCTCCATCATGAAGTCATTTCGACAATTGTAAATGTGTCGGATGTTTGGATGATCATCAGGAAATTGCTCGGCAATAGTGGACATGATGTTACGGGGAGCAACCTTGGACTTTGTCATGTCCCGCACAACCTGTTTTGCACCCGGACTCAATCCGCTCACTTTACGGTGACCCTCTGGGTACACAATCATTGGGTGGTTATGTGTCCCGGTGTGATCATTTTTCGCATTGATCTTCCAACTTTCGGTGCTGACATCATAATATATCTTGATGTAGAATGGACAACCATTAGCTTTGGTTTTGGTGTCCTTCCGTATCGCGTTCTCCAAATCTCTCGGCTTGCTCCTTCGTGACCGATCACACCGCAAACACCGATACGGCCGACCATCTCTGGTTTTGCTATAAGACGATTTCACCAATATAAATCCCAATTTTATGGAAACATCATCAGCCCATGTAACTACATCGTCAAATGTAGGAAAAAACGTATCGCTGACAAAATTCCCACTATAATTCACACCGTCACCGCCTTCCTCAGATTCCATATCCTATACAAATTAAACAAAACATGGTTTATGTCAAAATAATAATAATAAAAACAATAATAATAATAATTATAATAATAATAATAATAAAAACAATACTACTAATAATAATAATAACAATACTAATAACAATACTAATAATAATAACAACAAATACAAAACAATAACAATATTAATGATAAAAAAAATTTATAACAACAACTACAAAACAATTTATAAGACCATAAAATTAATTAATTAATAAATAATAATAATAATAAAAATAAAAATAAAAATAAAAATAATAATAATAATATTATTGTTAAAATTATATTTCTACTAATTAATAATAACAATATCAACAACAACAATAAAAATAACAGCAACAACAACAATAATAATATCAACTACAACAACACCAATAATATCAACAACAACAACAACTAAGATAATAATAATAATAATAATAATAATAATAATAATAATAATAATAATAATAATAATAATAATAATAATAATAATATAAATAATAATAATAATGTAACAAAAAATAAACATATTACTAATAATCATATTAATACAACAAAATTACATTAATTATCAAATACTAAATCACAACAATAATCACAAGACCACGAAAAAAAATACATAAAAAAAAAACTTAATTAACATAAAAAAAATTAAATAACCGTACTTAACATTTTAAAAAAATATGAATAGGGACATCCGCCTAAAATTTCCGGATTTCCCTTGGTACATCCGCCATAAATTTCCGGATGTACCATGGAACATCCGGATTTTTTAGCAGATCCCATCTTCCGCTTGAAATTTCCGGATGTTCCATGGTACATCCGGAAATTTTAGGCGGATGTACCTAGGACATTCGGAAATTTTAGGCGGATGTCCTAATTACCGAAAATAAAAAAATAAACTTACAGAATGATCCGACGCATTCTCCGGCGTACGTATGTTCCACTCGCCGTCCATGACCCAAGACCCGTCGGAAAATTTCACGATTTTTTAAAATAGAAAATTTAGGTGGTCGTGGGGACCGATTTGGTTGCAAGGTCGTGGGGACTGATTTTGGGAGGCTCGGGACAGCCATGTCGTGAAGTGAGGGGACCGTTTCATGTATTGTGTCCAAATGGGGAACAAGGTCCTTTTTATAACACAAATTGTATAAAGGGCATAGTGGTCCATTCAAGTCAAAAAGGGAGCGTTACCTGGTAAAATGGTAGCGACAAATAGCAGTTGAGTATAATTTTGTTATAATTTTTACTAATAGACAATTAAAAATAACTTAATGGTCAAAGTTGCGTCTCGGCAAATGTGCTGGTCAAACTGATAAAATCAGTAAAAATAATTTCCGTTCGGCAAAAATAATTTCAATTCAGCAAAAATAATTTCAGTTTAGTAAAAATAATTTAAGTTCAGCAAAAATGATTTCAATTCAGAAAAAATAATTTCAGTAAAAATAAGGCGAAGTAAACAGGGCATAAGTGTTAAATCAAGGGTGAACCTGTCAATTTATTACACTATTCTTCAAATAAGAGTGCTGAGTAAGAGTGTTAACAAGCCAAGGTGAGACCGAGTCTAGAAAAATTAAGTTCAATTTGACACTAAATCAATACTTGTTAAACCCAAAATTAGCGAGGCCCAAATTATGCCCTTAGCCATATTTCAAGACAATCAATATTTGCTTTTATAACTCAAATATTCTATCATTTGTTCCTACCTTTCCATGTGAGGCTATTTTCTTTTACTTTCTTTTGTTGGTTCTTCTTCGACATAAACTAATAAGCCATGAACAAACTCCAATACTCAATGACTTAGTGGGAATGCAAACTAGAGTTTTGAATATTAATTTTAGTTCCTAAGTCCAAAATATGAAACAAAGTTTATCTTGATTTTTTACCCAAAAAAATACAAAAAAATTCGAGTCGAGCCAAGGATAATTCAGACTTAACTCGTTAAGATGTCGAGCCCAATCCGAATTTGAGTTGAGTGTAGCTTAAACCAAGGCGAGCGAGTCTCAAACAATTTACGAGCAGGCTCGGCTTGTTAATAATGGTACCCTATCATAATTTACGGAATCATAATCGAAACTTGTTGAAATCGGTTCTCCGAATTGATATATGAATGAAACCTCTTGCAATAAGTTCTTGAAATGGAAATTAGAACCACTAGAGACACACTTTGAATCAGGGTATCTTGTCATTTAATATACTTAAACAAGTATATAATTATTATATGACTTGGGCATAAAATATTCGGGTTTTTCACCAAATACCCTTGAAGTTTTCAAAAATTCACCAAATACCCTCAAGTTTTTCAAAATTCACCAAATGTCACTGACATTTGTTAATATTCACACTGTAACCTTTGGCGTTAAAGTTCCGTTAGTAATAAAATTTAATTCACCAAATACCCTATCTTAGTTAAATAATTACACAAAATACCCTTATTTTTGGAAGTACAATGTCTAGTTTGAAATATAAGGAAACTAGCCATTAGTTTTGATTTTCACCATTTTTTGCATAAATTCTCGATACATATCATCTCTCTTATTTGCTTAACTACAAATATTTAACACCATGAGTTATCAATCTAAATTATCCTCCTCAATGTATGAGTACTTTTGTGTAAGAGTTGCAAACATCCTCTATTCATAAAAAGAAGTGTCGGAGACCTCGCGAACAGAGTAAAAGAGGGCCAACTGAAATAGAGGTAATTACTTACGGGCTTGGACAGAAAACGGATCAGGCTATAGTTCATATTTTGTCCAACGGACTTAATATAGCAAACTCAAACCCCTTTTATGCGGCTTGACAATTAGTCTATACCCACCCCAGTAAACAGTTTGGGTTTGTCCGCGGACTAGCTAGCGGACTCAGAAGTTCTTATTGCAAATTTTCTCCTACTATACTAAGATTTGTTTGCAACTCTTATACAAAAGTTCTCATACAATGAGGAGGATGATTTAAATTGATTTCTCAAGGAGTTAAAAATTTGTATTTAAGCAAATAAGAGGATGCTATGTATGGAGTATTTATGCAAATAAAGGGTGAAAATCAAAACTAACGGCTTGTTTCCTTAAATTTTAAAATAGACGTTGTACACTTGTATTTCCAAAAACAAGTGCATTTTGTGTAATTAATTAACAAAGTTAGGGCATTTGGTGAATTAAATTTTATAGCTAATGAAACTTTAATGTCAGGGGTATTTTGAAGTCACGGTGTGAATATTAACAAACGTCAGTGGCATTTGGTGAATTTTGAAAATCTTGATCTGAGGGTATTTGGTGAATTTTTAAAAAGTTCAAGGGCATTTGGTGAAAAACCGTAGATTATTTTATTACTGGCTTATATTGTTATCTAGTTTTTCTTTCAAAAATGCACTTGGATTGATTTGTTGTAAGGGCTTAAATAATAATTTTATATGGTTTTAATTTCGATTCTGACATTTCTGAGTAATATTTTCAGAAAATTTGAGAACACAAAACATAACTTGTTTGCAATAAGTTCTTAATTTTACTACCTAAAACTGGAACTAAAGCTCCATGTTAAATCTCTAGGGATTTTAAGGCCCCGTTCTCTTCACCTTAATTTTGCTGAACTGAAATTATTTTTACTGAACTGAAATTAGTTTTGCTAAACTTAAATTATTTTTACTGAACTTAAATTAATTTTACTGAACTGAAATTATTTTTGCTGGACTTAAATTATTTTTTACTGATTTTCTATTATAATTCTTCTTTAATAAAACTGAATTTTGCTGAACTGAACTTATTTTTACTGAATTGAAATTATTTTTACTGAACTGAAATTAATTTTACTGAACTGAACTTATTTTTACTGAATTGAAATTATTTTACTTAATATTATTTTTTTAAGGTGAAGAGAACAGGGCCTAACTTTCTATTAGTATCAACAATACAATTAGTCAATATATTGTAGTTCCCATTTTTATCTATCTCTTATTGATAGGGGTGAGCGTAGTAGAGTACCCCTGTAAAAATCTAAAACTGGTACCTAATACAAAAGGTTCCTAAAAATAGGAAATTGAACCTGAAAGGAATGGTGTCCTTCGAACAAGTGTATTATTCTGATAGCGGGTTCAGAATTATTAGAAAGCTAATATATTCAGTAAGGTCAAGTGATCGAAATGCCTGGGTGGAGGCCGCTTCCGATCAGTAATATTAATGTATAATTAATATTACAGCTTAATCTTGACTGGACCCTTCGAGTCACACCCTAGCAAATATACGAACCGACTCGACGAATTAATTCGGAAAAAATTAATTCGTCGCCCGAGTGTTAAATATTTAGACGTCGAAAATTCGAGCTTGGAGCGTCGAAACTGAGCGTCGGAGAATCTCAAATGTCGAGCCAAAATTTAGGATTTTGCGAGACGGGAAAATGCTTCAAGTAACAAGTAAAATCCTAGCCACACGAAAGGCTAGGAGAGTGCGCCCAATAGGTGCGTGCCACGTGGCAGCACACATGGCAAAGAGCCATGTGGCAGCACACTTGGTAGCCATGTTGGCAGCCGCCAAGTGGTAGCCACCAAGGGGCAGCCGCCACGTTGGCAGCCACCAAGGGGCAGCCGCCAAGTGGCAGTGTGCCACGTAGGCAACGTGCCACGTGGCAACGCGCCATGGTGACGACACGTGTGGCAAGAGGCTGTGGACCTGGGTGATGGGTCATGGACACATGCCAAAATAAAATGGCCCAACCGAACCCAACTTGGGGCTCAAGGTTGGGTGACACATGGTTAGTTCACATTGCATGTGAATTGCCTTGGGGACCAAGTGGGAAAGTGGTCCTCACCTAACCATGTGACACTTGTTACTTGTTCCTTGGTTTATTTAATTAAGGATTGAATTCATCAATCTTTCCATGTGGGATCTTTTTGTGAAAAAGTCCCACATTGAAAGATGAGTGGAATTCACAAGCTATCCTTCCTTATAAATAGCCAAAGCATGGCATGAGAATTCTTTACTTGAGTGAGAGTTGAAAAAG